CTTTCCAAAGCAGGGTGTAGGGAGGAGCCAGGCTGACCAGCTGTGGTAGAGAAGGTGGAAACATTATGGGTTTGGTTTCCTGCCCTGGGGCAGAGGAACAGGGGAACCTGGTGTGGGGCCTGGGTGCCCTGCTTTGATGAGACCCATATGCGTGTGCACCCCCCATGATGCAGCCTTGAGGGGTGTGAGAGCCTGCAGGGAGGACAGTACACAATCACTAAATACACTTTAATTCCCCTCCCCCAGCTGCCCTCAGCCCTACTCAGGTGGTAGGGGCGGGGGTGGCGGCGGCTCCTCTGGAGAAGCCTCCATGGGAATGGCCACAAGGCTCTGATCCTCTAGTGGCGGCATCATGGAGACCTCCAGGTCAGCGTCCATTAGCTGGGACTCCACATATACCGGGTGCAGGTCCATGCGATTTTCCTGGACCCCAAAATTCTCCATCAACCTGCATGACAGGGGCCGGGTCAGCACAAGCTGGTGGAGTCCTGATCCTCCAGGGCAGGCCAGTGTCTGGGACAGCGCAGTCCCACAAAGGGCCTCCCCTGGGACAGCACCCCTCCTCCTCCAGGGACTCCCTTGGGATAGCTTCCTGCGCCAAGGGCCTCCCCTAAGACAGCACACCCCACCCCAGGACCTCCCTTGAGACAGCGCACCCCCCTCGAGGGCCTCCCTGGTGCTCACCTGTTGTCCACTAGTCTCGGGCATGTTTCACTGAGGGGATGAAGACCGACATGAGTCCTGGAACAGTGCTGGGCCCCCGAACCTCCCCCAACACACGCCTAGGAAACACCATTCCTACCCCAGGTGACAGCCCACCCAGGGGTAAAGGCCCCTCTTGCAAGACCGAGGGCCCAGGGCAGGCAGCCTGGCCTCACTCCCATCCACTCCCGGCCCCGGGGTTCACGCACCCCTTGGCCCGCAAGACACCAACTGCCACGATGACAAGGGCACAGAAGCAGCTGGCACTGACGCCCGCCAGCACCACAAGGAGGGCGATGAGGGCTTCGCGGCTGAGGCCAAGGCTGCATTCACAGTAGGTTCCAGCTGCAGAGACAGGGCCACATAGCCATGGGGCCGGTCACCTGCCTGTGGAGGGCCTCCAGGTCTGCCCCTGCCCTGGTGGCCACCAGAAGGACACCAGAGCTCCCGCCTTGCCTGGGAAAGGGGAGCCCTGGCTGGGAGCAGGGTGAGGGGGCAGGAGGAGGCACCTGCAGCAGGGATGAGCAGAAGAGACAAACATGTGAGGCCCAAGGGGCCGCCACGCAGGCAGGACGCAGGCTGGGGACCAGGGGCCATGTCCAGCCCTGGCCCCACTGCACACCTCTGACGGAACTATTGGAAGGCGCTGACTTCACAGTGGGACTGTGAGGTGGGGGTGGGGGGCCTCACGGTGCCAGTGTGTCATTTGCCCTTGGGCACCGCGATTCAGGGAGCCACTGACAAAAGCAGCCCTGGGAATGGGACAGGTAGGGTGGACAGAGGCCTGAGAGAATGGCCAGCTCAGGCCAGTTCTGAGGCAGAGGCAGCAATGGGGCTGGCCTGGTCTTACGGGCCGTCCTTCACAGTGGTTTCACCGTGTTCACCAGGATGGTCTCGATCTCCTGAACTCATGATCTGCCCGCCTCGGCCTCCCAAAGTGCTGGGATTATAGGTGTGAGCCACCACGCCCGGCCAAGTCCTTCACAGTGAAAGGGGGTGGGCGGCACTCCAGGCCCTGATGTGGGTGCAGTGGCCTGGCAACCTTGGGGGGTGGGCGGTAGGCAGCCTCGGCCTCAGCTCCCTCCCAGCATAAGGACTGCGGCAGCTCAGCGTGTGGGCTGGGCCCCAGCTGGCTGCAGGTCACCTTCCTCCAGGGCCGGGGCAGGAAGGAGCCAAGGAGGGCTAAGCAGGTGGGCTTGCACTCAGCCTCCCTCACCACTGCTTCTGGGAGGGTCTGGCTCATGCCCTGGCAAAGCTCAGGTCAGAAGGGCTGCTGGCACAGAAGGGAATCCCCCATCAACCTGGAAAGGTCTGGGGTACACTGGCCACCCCATCTGAGCAGGACCCCAAGCCTTGCCTCCCGGACATCCGCCATCCAAGGCTCCAGACTAAAGGCGTCACTGAAGTTGGAGCCCCAGGGGCTGTTTCCTCTGCAGAAAAGGCAAGTGTTGCCCAAGGAAGTTGACCACAGGCCAGCATGGCCAGGGTTAATTCCAGCCTCCTTCCTGAACCTGCTGTTCCAGGCTGGGAGAGAGGCCCCTGCCCTCCTGGCTTCCCCTCCTCTGAACCTGCCAAGCAAACCGCCAGGCAGCAGAAGGAAACACCTGCCCCACAGCCAACCAAGGCCAGGCCTCCTGCCAGCTCAGGACCCATGGGGCGCAGAGGGGCGGGGTGGGCACAGCCTGGCCCCAATGGACCTGGTCACCAGGGACCCCCTTGCCTGTTGACAGACACCGTCCTGCGGAGGTCCTTGGACCTCTGACTTGCTGAGTGACACCGTGACCTGACATGCACCTTTTACCCTTGTCTTCAGGACACATCCAGGGATGGAATCCACAGACACAGAACAAAAGGTGTGCCAGAGCCAGGCTGGCAGTGACACCGGACAGGCCAGCCCAACAGGTTTGTATCCTGCTTAGGACAATGGCACACCCAGCCTGGGGCCAGGTGGTGGCCATGGTCAGCGGGATCCAGGCAAGGCCACCGCCTGAGGGGAGACAGTGGGCATCAGAGCAATCAGGACCCCCCACACCAGAATTCAGGAGAGGGGTCCCTCTGTGTGACAGCAGCACAGCCAGCCTTGGAGTGAAGTGGAGCAGGTGGCAGGGCCCAGGGCTGGAAGGGAGATATAACATGGGCGGAAGCAGCCCTCCTTGGCGGGGCAGAGGCCTGATGGCCAGAGGCTGTGCATCTGACACCTGCCTAATCCCAACCACTTCCTCCTTCAAGCCCCGAGGCAAACAGAGTTCTCCAGAGTCAGGAGGGTGCAAGCATGTCCACGGAGCAGGACGGCTCAAACAGGCCAGATCTGGAGAGGTGGGAGGGTGCTGGGCGGCGGCTGCAGGAGCCCAGGACAGTGGACATGTGGGAACCAGCAAAGGTATCTGGGGACAGCGGCGGGAGCACTGAAGCCAGGCGCAGCTCACAGCCTGGGAAGGTGCTGCAGCAGGAGCGGGACTCGAGGTGCCGGTTCAAAGGGCCTTTGTCCCCCGGGAGGACGGCACCATCGGGGTGGAACATGTCTGGCCTGGAAATGGCACCTCTGGGAGACAGGCCCAGATTTTAGCAGCAGAAGAGCCCAGAGCTGGACCCTAGGGCCCTTGTTCAGCTTTGTGGCGTCTCCCTCTCCCAGTGCCAGCCTCTGGGACAGGCCTTGGGCAGCCTGCACACGCATGACCACACATGTGGGGGACATGGGGGCGACCTGCCTTTCCGAGGCACACCTGTGAGGCCGAGCTCTGCGGCCACCCTGCCCAAGTGTGGAGCAGGGGACAAGTGCCCAGTCCCTCTGGCCACCAGGGCATAGCTTTGAGCAGAGCTTTGCTGCCGGAGATGAGGTGTGTTGGCCAAGACGTCATTCGCCAGTCTAAGCAATTCCAACCGAACCCATGCAACGTCCCAGCCTCGCCGGAGACCTCCTGGCCCGGCACGTGGGGTGGGCACAGGCTGAGCAGAGGGTGACCCCAGGGCTCCTTCCAAAGGCCAGAGGCACAGGGATGGAGCTGGAGGTCTGGCAAGTAGCACCAAGCCCTAGGACGTGGCTGCCTGAGCCGTGGCCCAGGTGTGACGTGGGGTTTCACGCGCGGCTTCCTGAGCACCCAGGCGGGGGCGGCCCGGGAAGCTCTCAGGAGGCTGATTCCCAGTGCAGATGTGTAGGCCTGGGTGGCCCCTCGCCTACTGCTGAGGAGCAGGCCCTGCCAGGCTGAGAGAGGCCCAGGATAGAGGGGCATCTGGGGGGCCCCACAAAGCCACCAGGATAGAAAAAGATGACCTGACTTGCTTTAATCTGCACACTGTGGGGGTGGGAGTGGGCGTGCCCCTGAGCAGTGCATTCTGGGACACAGGCGGGCAGGGGCTGGCATGGGAGGACGAGAGCACCTGCAGGGCAGCACCTGGCGGGCAGGCGGGCGGGTGCATCAGCTGCAGTTCTTGGGCAGGCGGTAGACGCCGGCCGAGTAGACGAGCTGCTGGTCCCGCACCTTCTTCTGTAGGTAGCCCTGCAGCTCCTGCAGGTCAATCTCGGCCAGCGCAGGCCCGGTCACCACAAACATGCGGAGCATATTGTAGATACGATCCAGCGAGAGGCTCTCCAGGTTGGTCAGCATGGCCTGGATGTATGTCCAGAAGAGCTGCGGACACAGGCCAGCCCCCATCAGGCACCCGCAGGCCCTCCCCGCCACCCCCCACGGGCCCGCACACGCACCAGCAGCTCCTCCTCCTTCTGGTCAGCCTGGGAGGCCATGCCGGAGTCGCTCTCGTCGTCACTGTCCAGGAGCACCATGTTGTCCCGGTCCTGAGGCCGCTCCTCCTCAATGACAGAGAAGGTGCCGGGGGGCTCCTCGCGCAGCACGCCCTGCTGCAGCCACACAGACATCCGCCGCCGTAGCAGTGCCACGGGCATCTTCACTGCCTTGCTCAGTTCCTCCAGGGTCCAGCTGGCTGCGTGCAGAGTGACCGGGACACTGGGCAGACTGGGCACAGGCTGCACCTCCCCTGCCTCCTGTCAGCCCAGAGGTCGGGGGGCTCCCAGACCACCCTGCCTTGCCCGTGGGAAAGGGAAGGGTGCTGCCTGCTGGCGCAGCTGCCCCAAACCACACCGTCACTGGGGAACAGTCCCTCACCCACAGCTGGGCCGTGTGGCCGGGGCAGACTAGCTAGGGGCTGGTGGGCTCACCTTGGTCCTGAAAATACAGCAAGATCACCGCCTGTACCGGGGTGACCGCCACAGACAGCGTGCGGTCAGCCAGCTCCACATCCATGGTCACCAGGCCCAGGGTGTGCTTCCAACTGAGGGTCCGCATGGCCTAAGGAGGGCTAGGGTCAGCTTGGGCAGCTCGGCTGCAGGGGGCTCAGGCCCATGGGCTCTGCCACCTGGTACCGGGTGAGAAAGGGGCTCCCAAAGCCACCTGCCCCACCCTACTCTGGCAGGCAGGTGAGCAGCGAGAGCACAGGACTGGGTGGGGTCCCTACCTGCTCAGCTACCATGAAATGGCAATGGGGCCAGCGTCACAAGGTGTGTCCCAAAAAGGCTACGTCTGCCTCCTAACCCCCAGTGCTTGGAAATGTGGCTGTATTTACAACAGGGTTGATGCAGATATAACTGAGGTCACACTGGAGTGGGGTGCACCCTAATCCAAATGACCGGGGTCCTTCTAAGCAAAGGAAAGATGGGAAGACACAGGCAGGCGGGGAGGCAGCCCACGAAGACAGAGGCCGCCTGGAGCAATGCGGCCACAAGCCAAGAAACACCACGGGCTGTGGCAAACACCAGAAACTGGGGGGCAACAGAGGTCTCTAAGAGGTTTCAGAGGGAACGGGGCCCTGCCAATATCTTCACCTTGGACTTCCAGCCTCCAGAACTTAAGACAATCTATTTCTGTTTTTTTAACCCACCCAGTTTGTGACACTTTGTTACAGCAACCACAAGAAATGAACAGATTTTGGTACCAGGAAGGGCGCTGTGGAAACCTAACACCGAGAACGGTGGCAGCAGCTTTGGAAGTGGGTGATGGGGAGAGGCTGGAAGAACTATGGTGAGGGCCTGCGCGACTGTTGGTAGAAAGGCGTGAAGACAAGCCTGGAAATGGCCGGGAGAGGAGAGCTGCCGTCGTCTTGGAGAATACACACAGCATCACAGACTGGATACCAGCAGCAATGCCGACCCAACAGGTGCTTCCAGTGAGGTCTCAGGTGGAAATGAGTGTGCTACTGGGAACCAGAGGAGGCAGCAGAGAGCTTGGCTGGCTGGGGCTCTACTGTTGGGTACATGGTGGGGCCTACAGCTGATGAGCCTGGACATTCAGCTGAGGAGATTTCCAAGCAGTGTGGCAAGTGCCACCTGCCTTCTCCTTGCTACTTACAGCAGAATACAAGAGGGAAACCATCAGTGAGGCAGGAACCATTAAGCAAAAAGGCACCAGCCCTTGGGGATCTGAAAAATGCTGTATCCAGGCAGCTCTGAGATGTGGCCAAGGGTGTGGTTGGACCAGGGTTTGCTAGCGATGAGATGTGACCTGTGCATCCAACCAACCATCTCAGCAGCAGACAGGGACAAGTGGGGCCTCTGGGAAAGGGCTGCGGACCCACCTGTCTGAGCGCTTGGACACTGGTGAGCTGCATGATAAGCCAACAAGGTGTGTGAGAATTTTGTACCATCTGAAGTGCTGCCAGGCTGGACCGAAAGGAAGGCAGGCTCCAAGAGCAGAGCTGCAGAGGCCAAGGCCGAAGCTGACGAGGTGGGGCTGCCCCTGCAGGCTGAGGACGGAGCAGGGAGCCAAAGAGGATTCGCAGGCCTGGAAGTCAACTGGAATTTCAGCTGCTGGGTTTGAACTCACTTGGAACCTGCCAACCTTTTTCCTCCCAGTTTTCCCTTTTGGGGTGGGAATGTCTATGCTTGTCTTACGGTGGAACTTCTGAAACAGATCATTTGTTGCCTGATTTCACAGTGTCCCAGCTGGAGAGGAATGAAGCACACTCCAAGCCTCACCCGTGCCTCGTTTAGACGGCATTTACATGCTGAGCTGTGGAACTTTGTGTGGACGATATTTAGATGGGATTTTTGGACTTGGAGTTGATGCTGAAATGGTGAAGACTTTTGGGGCTACTGGGGTTAACTGTCACTTGCATGCTGGAGGGACCCGCCATGGGGCAGACTGTTATGCACTGAATTGTGCCCCTCAAAAAAAGACACATGAACCCCTAACTCCCAGTACCTCTGATGGGATCTTATGTGGAAATACGGTCATTAAAGATATAATTAAAATGACATCACCCTGGAATAGAGTAAGTGTCCTTCTAAGAGGGAGACAGGAACAGAGACACGGGGGAACATCACGGGCGACACGGCAGAGACCAGAGCAAGCCACCCACAGGCCCAGGAGCTCCTGGACCTCCCAGAAGCTGGAAGAGGGGAGGAAGCAGCTTCCCCTAGAGCCGTCGGAGGGCCCTGCTGGCCTGACTTTAGACTTCTGACTTCTGTAAGATGATCGTTTCTTCTAAGCCCCCTGGTCTGTGGTACTCTGTGCCGGTGGCACCGGGGCACTGACACACCTGCTCTGTGGGCCAAGGGTTCCTGAGTCCTTCCAGGATCCGGCAGCTCTTAACAGAAACAAACCTCTCTTTACGGACAGAAAATGGAGGGGGAGTCAGTGGCTTGCCTTGGTCCTAGCTCTGGCTCCAAGGCCGTGACCTCCACAAACGCCACTGGTCAGCCTGCAGCTGGACAGCTGCAAGGGCTCAGAAGCAGCCGGCTCAGGGGTAGATGCTGAGGGCTGCATGGCCAGCCAGGTGTCCAGCAAGGTCCCTTGGCCAGGAGCTCTGCTGGTGGGACCCCTCAGCACAGCCCCGGGGCCTTCCTGAGCTACTCCTGTGTCCCACTGAGGTTAAGACACACTGGAATGTGGCTGTCCCAGCACTTCAGGCCTGAGCAATGGGCAGTGGCTGAGCCATGCCTGGGACCCGAGGCGGGACCCTGGAGGGAGGCCAGTGGGACCTCGCCTGGAAGTGGCGCTGGAGAGCCTGAGGCAGCCAGAAGGGGCGGGGAAAAGGGACCGAGCGTGGAGCCCGGCCACACAGATGATGTGTACCAGAACGCAGCAGGGCACGGTGCCTGCAGGCTCCAGAGATGCCAGGCTGTAGCACAGGCCACAGCTGGAGGTGCGGGGATTGCCAGGGCCCTCCTTTCCACCGGGAGCAGGCAGGAGCCACACAGACCCTCCACAAGCTGCAAGGGACACCTGGACTCTTCCAGAGCCAGGCTGAGGCCTGGAGGGAGGCAGCAGACACTCGCCACCGTGGTCAGCAGCCCGGCCCTACCAGAGCCCCGTAGCCTCCCGCCCTGGTGCCTCTGCCTGGCCCTCCTCTTGTCTGTCTCTGGAAGGAAGCTTCCCCCTTGGTTTCTAAAGTGGACGTATCGCCCTCCTCTCCCCTAGGAGTAAGTTCCCTTGGCCTGTCAACACAGCAAGGCCCTCTTACTTGCCAAAGAAAAAAAGAACACACATCTAGGTCCAGCCTCCTTGACAGCAGACCTGGAGAAGCTGCGGACCCTCCCTTGAACTCAGCCCCACCTGCCAGCCTCCTGGCGGCTCTGTCCTAAGACTGCTCCTCCGGCCCTGGCTGAGGCTGGACCATCCCCCTCCCGGGGCTCCTGGGGCACCTGGGGTTGGGGTTTGCAGCCTGGATGCCGGCTGTGCCCCAGGACCCTCTCCTCACATTTCCCCTGCTGGGGTGCCCGCCCCACCCCAGTCTTGATGGGCATACTGGAGGCCCCACAGGCCCCACACATCAGACTGAAAGCCCTGGAACCTGCCTATGATGGCTATCCTGACCCCTTCCTCTGCCAGCCGACACATCTCACCTGACTATGAGCTCAGGGAAAGAACCTCCAAGCCTGGTCCCATACCTCGGGCTCTGGACGCCTGTCCTGGGACTGCTGGAATCGGCAGTGCTGCCAGGGATGTGAGCCAAACACGGCCAACACCATCACCTGGGCACACTGTCCCCGTCTGCCAGTGACCTCCAGGCCAGGGCTCACTCCTCCACTCCCCACATCTGCTTCCCTCCTATTCCCACCACAGACCCACAGCCCCGGTCCTCAAGTACCGCCGGAACCTGCAAAGGTAGTTCTCGAGGAAACAGACCTGGAGAAGGGGGCAGGGCTGCAGTCCTGGGAGTCAGGTGTGCTTGGGAGCGCTGCCCTGGGCAGAGGGCAACTCTGGCTCCCCGGCTGCCTCCCTGCAGTGACACAAGGCACCCCAAGCCCCGGTTCTGAGAGGCAGAGGACGGATGGTGAAAGAGGAGGAAACGCTCAGAGGGCGGGGCCTGCTGTGGCCACAGGGGTCCCCGTAAAGCAGTCGAGAGACCTGGGCCCAGCAGAGCCCACCCAAGCTCCTGTGGGCCACAGGGACTCTCGCTCACAGGCGCACAGGGTTGCTGGGAGGAAGGCGGATGGAGTGTGGGCCAGACCCACTCCCTCTCCTGCAGGGGTGACTGCGAGACGGGACCAACCCAGAGACACTCGGGTGACAACGGGGCGGCCACAGGTACCAGGCTGCTGGGAGCCCTGCAGCGCAGGATGGGGGTGCCGAGGGCCCATGGGGCGGCCCGGCATGGAGGTACCTTGAGCTGCTCGTACTTCTTGCAGTAAGCCTCCAGGGCTGCCCTGATGTCCTCGGGGACCTCGAGCTTCTCGTCCTTGAAGGGTGGCCAGAACTCACTGGACAGGATGACAGCATAGACCCCGAACGGTGGCTGCTCCTCCGCCGGCCGCTTCTCGTCCTCCTCCCGGATGTTGGCGTTGATGCGGCGGGAGTCCGCCATGTCCTGAGGAGGAGCCAGTGTCACGGGGGACCTGTGGGGCAGCCGGGCAGTGGGCGGGGCTGGGACCCACCTTCAGCATGACCTCGCAGAAGTGCATTGGGGCCTCGCCAAAGCGCAGCTTCAGCAGCTCCACGTTGCGGATCTCCCTGGAAAGATGAGTGTCAGGGCAGGGTGTCGCGGTGAGCCCCAGCCCCAAGGAGCACCTGTGGCAGGGCACGGGGGTGCCCCGCAGGTAGAGCAGGGGTCCTGTGTGGGCACCCCGATGGCTAGCACACCTTCAGCCAGGAGTGGGGGCGGAAGCACAGCTCCAACCAGGCCCCAGGCACGGGATCAGGGCCCTGTCCCGACAGAGGCTTGGCAAAGGCCCCGCTACCCCTGGAGAGGAGCGGCACGTCGTGGGCCTCACCGCTCAGGGCTGAAGCTGAGCTGGTGCAGCAGGCGGTCGGCCAGCAGCGAGCGGTACTCATTGATGAAGAGGTCCTTGCTGCCGTAGATGCTGACCAGCAGACTGATGATGTCTGATGAACGCCTCTTGGAGCTCGACTTCCCTGGCACGGTGGGGGCAGGGGTGTCACCTGACAGGCACTGAGGCAAGGACAGGGCCGCTCCCCTCCCAACCCGCCCAGCCAGATGGCACAGCCTGGCAGGGCTCTTCCTGAAGGCCCTCAAGGCTGGGAGCAGCCCGGCGCCTCCTGGGAGACCTAGAGTCAGGTCCTGTAGCAAAAGCTTCAATCCCCAGCCCCTTCCACCTCACAGGGACCTCCCGGGACCCCCATGCAGGCTTAGGGGACAAGCCAAAGGTCCTGGGGTTTTCCTCTGAGACTAAAGATGTGTTGAAGACTTACCATCTGTGCCAGGGCAGGGGCCAGGCCTGGGCCCCACAGCTCTGGGAGCCCTCGCAGACGAGGGCCAGGCACAGATGGGCCCTGAGCAGGAGCTGGCACCCTAACAAGACTCTGAGCCCCAAATCAGTATGGGGCTCAGGGGCCCCCCACATCTTCACTCCTCTGCCAGGTGCAGTGGCAGGGCAGGAACACCTCACAACTCACAAGCAGTGTGAGGCAGGGCATCCCCCACGGCCAGTGACTAGCCACGGAGGAACACAGCCCATCACGGGCCTGCCCAGTCCGGCGGGGGGGTGGAGCACTGCCCTGAACTTCGACACCCTCAAGCCTCTGGGACACTGGCCACACCTGACACAGCCAAGCTCTGTGACAGAGATGAGTCCAGAGCAGACGGCCTGGCTGAAGCCCCCCCCCCCGCTGGTGAACAGGGCCGTGCGGGGCTGACCTGGATCGGCATCCACGGGGTCCGGGACCCAGTCCTCCGGCTCGCCCGAGTCATCCTCACTGTCCTGGCCTGTCTCCAGGCTTGCAGGGTCGGTCTTGGACAGCTCAACAGCCAGGTCCCCTGTCCCGTCCGAGTCCCCTGTCAGCCCGGCCACAATCTGCCGCACCGTGTCCTCCCGTGTCCTGCCGACGTGAGTGCTGCTGTGGCCCACAGTGTGGACACCCTGCGTGCACCTCCCACCACTCACCCCAGTCCCGGCCCCATCTAGGCCAGCACCACCCACCCTGCCTCTACACTCAGTGTGACAGGCTGTGTATTAAAGACAGGCCCGTCAGACTCCTTAAAAACAAATAAACTCAACGCTACTCGGGAACAGCAGGAGCTGCGAGCGCGCTCCCAGCACTTAGGGACACTGAGCCAGGAAGACTTAGGCCCAGATGTCTGAGGCTGCAGGGAGATAGGATTCTGCCTCCGCACTCCGACACAGCAAGAGCCTGTCTCGGAAAAAAAAAAAGGCCAGGTGGGGTGGCTCACGCCTGTAATCCAGCACTTTGGGAGGCTGAGGCAGGCAGATCAGGAAGGCAGGAGATCGAGACCATCCTGGCTAACACAGTGAAACCCCGTCTCTACTAAAAATACAAAAAAAAATTAGCCAGGCGTGGTGGCGGGCGCCTGTAGTCCCAGCTACTCCAGAGGCGGAGGCAGGAGAATGGCGTGAACCCGGGAGGCGGAGCTTGCAGTGAGCCGAGATCGCGCTACTGCACTCCAGCCTGGGCGACTCTGTCTCAAAAAAAAAAAACAAAAACAAAGAACTGGCCCAGAGTGCTGATGAGTTACTGGGTACAGCACACCAACATGGTACATGTATACATATGTAATAAACCTGCACGTTGTGCACATGTACCCTAAAACTTAAAAAAAAAAAAAAAAAAAGAAAGAAAAAAAAGAAGTTGGCTGGGCGCGGTGGCTCAAGCCTGTAATCCCAGCATTTTGGGAGGCCGAGACGGGTGGATCACAAGGTCAGGAGATGGAGACCATCCTGGCTAACACAGTGAAACCCCGTCTCTACTAAAAAATACAAAAAACTAGCCGGGCGAGGTGGCGGCGCCTGTAGTCCCAGCTACTCGGGAGGCTGGGGCAGGAGAATGGCGTGAACCCAGGAGGCGGAGTTTGCAGTGAGCCGAGATCCAGCCACTGCACTCCAGCCTGGGGGACAGAGCGAGACTCCGCCTCAAAAAAAAAAAAAAAGAAGTTAAAGATATATCTTCTGGGCCGGGCGCGGTGGCTCAAGCCTGTAATCCCAGCACTTGGGAGGCCGAGACGGCGGATCACGAGGTCAGGAGATCGAACCATCCTGCTAACACGTAAACCCGTCTCTCAAAAAATACAAAAACAGCGGCGGTGAGGCGCCTGTAGTCCACTACTTGGAGTGAGCAAGAATGGCGTGAACCCGGAGGCGGAGCTGCAGTGAGCGAGATCGGCCACTGCACCAGCCTGGGGGAGAGCAGACTCTGTCTCAAAAAAAAAAAAAAAAAAAAAAAAAAAAAGAACTGGCCCAGAAGCCAGGCCAGTTACAGCCACAAAGCACCAAACAAGTCCAGACAGGTGCCAGATTCCCACCGGCTGCTACCGCTCGGCTTCTGGGGTCCGCTGTGCCTGCCGGCCCTGAGGAATTTCCAGGCGGCCACGTTAAGGTCCTCATTCCAGCACATTCTCCACCGAACAACCCCGGGCAGTGTCTGTTCCTTGTTGTAGGAAAGGCTGGGACAGCACAGAGCCCGCTCTCCTTGCCTGGTCAGCCGGGGGGGCTGGTCAGCACCGAGGCGAGGCCAAGTGGAAGAGATTCTCTCTGCACTGGGGAGGAGGAGGCAGAGGAGGGGCTGCGGTGGGCCTCTGGCAGCTGCACACAGAGGGCACAGTGACACCGTGTGACAAGGACAGGTGCCCGGCACCGGCAAGAGGAAAGGAAAGAGCCCTGGGCCTGATCCTGTGCACTCCCCAGCTGGGGGAGACCTTGTGTCCTGAGGGCTGAGCACACCCTCTGGCTGCCCCCAGGACCACGAGGAGCTCAGCAGGATGCCGGGGGTCCCAGTGGCTCCCAGGCCGGCGCGGCCCTCACCTCAGGTAGCGGCGGATGGGCTCACAGGCGACCTCCAGGATGACCATGGAAGGGTCCAGCACACGCAGCGCCTTGATGGCAGAGATGTAGAGGGTGATGATGTCACACGTGTTGACGCCTAGAGACAGGGCAGAGGCCAGCAGTCATGCAGTGCCCGGGACCACAGCCTCCCAGGGGCCAACGCCCGAGTAGACAGCTGGCCATGCCGGTCAGGTGGTCTACAGGTCCCCACTGCAGCCTCGTTCCCTTGTCCCCCCATCCCCATCTCTACCTGCTCACAGGCCCTGCCCTGCAGGGTGGTCTGTTCTGAAAGAATTAAGTCTCATCACCTCAGACCTACCAGTCAGTCCCGACTCCCTTCAAAGAAGAAACAAGCAAGCTGATGGGCACTCGAGATCCCCTAAGGACCTCGCCAACTGCTTCTCCACCCATTCCTTCCTTAGACCTACAAGTCCAGGGCTAGCAGACTGGGCCCCAGGCTCCCTGGACATGGGCACCCTGGTGAATGTCTAAGCCCCGAGCGCTGGGCAGCCGGGCAGCACACGGCACCTGGATGCAGGAGCCGAGTCTCCAGGGCAGCCTTGAGGGACACGAGCAGCTGCTGCCTCTGGTCTGTCCTCTCCAGGCAGTACTTGAGGTCCTCGATGGCCGGCCGGGAGTCTGGAAAGTCTACAAGAAGAGGAACATCCCTCAGGGACGAACACAGATGTGTGTGCACGTGCGGGCTGGTGCAGGGTGTGTGCAGTGTGTGAGAGGACATGCGCTCGCCAGCCCCAGGAAGATGATGAGACCACCTGCTAGGCACCAGACGTCCCCCCGGACACTTCGGCGTGCTGATGCATTTGACCACAATGCCACAGGGTGGACAGAGCAACACCCAGGGGCCAGTCCCCAGCAAGAGCCAAGAACAAGGGAGCATAGCAGTGGACACCTAGAAGCACCGTCCAGCATCTGCCACACCTGCCCTGATCCAGGCATAGGGGACACCCACGGTGGGGAGGGTCCCAGCCCTGCCCGGTGCACCCCCCTGCAAGAGCGACAGCGAAGGCACGGGGAGCCCAGACGCAGACACAGAGGAGACGCGGCGAAGGCCCTGGGAAGGCTCCCCAGACAGGAGAGAGGACCCGAGGCCGGGGCGGGACAACCTCGGATGATGCTGAAGAGCTCCTCGATGCGCAGGCTGGCGTAGATGCGGTAGAAGAACCTCTGCACGTGGCAGCGCCAGCGGCGCAGGGTATTGCCAGCCTCAGGAGACGCAGGCCTGGCGGGGCCGTCCTGCAGGAACACCTTGCCGAGCCAGCCGACCACCCGCTCGATCCACTGTCGGGAGAACGCTAGCGTGAGCTGTAGGAAGGCACGGTGAGCCCCAGGCTGACTCACAGGCTGGGAGGAGCCTCGCAGCCACCCACTGTGTCGGCCAGGACCAAGGGGAGCCCGAAGGCCACCTGTGTCTGGAGGCGGAAGCACATCAAAACCTGCAGGGTGGGTGATGGCCCAAAAGGCAATGTCCCGGCCCCCCTGTGGTCTTCATGCCTCTCACACGCACCAGTGCCCACACTTATCACTGGCAACAGCAGCCCTAGCATAAGACGTGATGGACACACATGGCCTGTGCGCTGTGCCTGGCGGGCACATTTGCCCCCACTTAAATGGATAAACACGCTCTTGAGACCAAACATGTGACCAGCCCCCACTCCCCCGCCATGCAGATGACACCGTACATCACAAGAGCGTCTCTGAGTGAGCACAAACCCCTAGACGGCAATTCCACCGCGGGGTCCCAGGTGTGCACACATCCCACAGACCTGCTACCCAGTAACAAGACCGCACGGATGTTCACCCTCTCCACCCGACTGCCCACTCTTGCCCACCGCTGCGGGGACGCCCTCTCTCTCTGAAAGCCTGACATCACAGCCAATCTGCACCTCAGTAGGTGGACTCCGAAGCACTGAGGAAAGGACAGGTGACATGTGGGAACAGGGTAGGGGGACCCACAGGGGTGGGCCCAGCTCCCCTATGGCCCTGGGAGCCCAGAGCAGAGACCCAGACCACACCCCAACAGTGCAGAGGCCTGGAGGCCCCATGTGAGGGTGTCTCGCCCCCTCTGTGGTGCAGGCCGGCTGTAGGTCAGTCCATGAGGGACCGGCCAAGCAAGTCCACACTCAAGTAGGGCAGCAAACAGGAGAAGGGGGTCCATTCACTGGCCCTTCTGGTGGGCCTGGCTTCGTCACACCTGCCTGGGGCAGCCCCTGGGGACCCTGGCCCGGTATTGACTGCAGCCATGGGATTCTGAGCAGATCTGGTGAGCGCACCTCAGATGTGTCCTCGCTGTCACCAGGGCCCAGAAGTACTGGTCTCTACCCGACATCAAAACAGCTCCAGCCACCACCCGGTCCAGGCCAACCCAGGCCTCCACGCTCTGGATGCTTCCAAAGCCAGGTGTCAGGTTTGCCAGAAACCTACTCCCCTGTCCCCAGCGGGGCACAGCCCAAAGGAGGGGCCCTCACCTTGTGGAACTCACGCAGGAAGGAGCGCTCGTACTCGCCTCGGCAACGGTCCTCCATCCTCTCCCGGGTCACCTGGTGTAGGGTGGTGGTCACAGCCTCGGCACTGACCCGCTCCAGCAGACTGAGCCTGTGTCTAGAGGAGAGTCCTAGCCATGGGGCACCCACAGCACACACCGGCCCCCCTAGCCCAGAACAGCCCCATGCCAGGACGGTCCTGCCTGTAGAGTGCATGCAGCACACACACGCACACCCCCACAACCAGCACGCACCTCCCCACAATCCTCAGCTGTGGGGGCCACTGTGCCTGCCAGCCCCGAACCAGGGCCTCTGCGACCCCTGAGGAATTTCCAGGCAGCCATGTCAAGGTCCTCAATCCAACACATTCTCCACTGAACAGCCCTGGGGAGTGTCTGTTCCTTGTCAGGGGAAAGGCCAGGACAGCACAGAGCCACTCTCCTTGCCTGGTTGGCCTGGAGCGCTGGTACCAAAGGCTTCAAGAAGCCACTCAGAGCACAGAGCACTCCCAGGCTCTGCTGTCCCCACCCAGCTGGCCTCTGTCCAGGTAGGGACACTGGACTTCCCCATGTGATCAGTGGCAGCAGGTGTGGCTGTCAGGGGCCCTACCCTTATCTCCTAGGATCAACTCTGAAACGACACCCAGTTGCACCGCTGCCCTGGCCCCAGAGACACAGATGCCACTGTTTGTGCCTTTCAGTGCAGTCTGTGGTCTACAGTGGCAAAAAGACTCCAGAGGAGAATGAGAAAGGTTGCTGTGTAACTTTTGCTGGGATGAGCCCAACAGAAGCCCCTCATGGTCACCCTGACCTCTGCCAGCAACAGGACCACTCCTTTAGTCCACCTAAGACCTCTCAAATAGCTGCGTGGCCATACCTCTGTTCAATGTGACAAAGCCACCACAAATGGCCGAGGGTGTGACAATTGCTAGAGGACTACAACAGGACCTGTCTCTCACAACAAAACCCTCTCCTCTCCAGAGAACCAGACAGGAGACCACTTGCCCTCACAGTGACCTGATCTCCCTGGAGAGAAGCAGCAGCAGGCTTCTGTTCACAATTACGGGGCAAGGAATGTCGACGAGGGTGAGAATCATTCCTTGCCTCAGGGTCGACAAAAGTCACAGTGGAATTCTGCAGAGTTCAGAAAGTTTGGAGTCGCTAAGAAATTTGCTGCTGCAGACAAAAGCCACATAGGGCCTTACCACGGGCAAGGCATGAATCCGTGGGACTGCAGGTGAGTGACAGAAGAGAGACACCTGTGTCCAGGACACACTGCACAGGAACCCCAGGGACTCTCTCTCTGTCATGTTCCTGGTTATCAGGACGGCTCACCAGCTTTCTGCAGAGGCCAGCTGGACCCAGGGGAGCAACCAGTAGGAGCGAGAGCACGGCCATCAGGACAGACTACTCACAAGACCTGGCTGAGCTGATGGAACTGCTCCAGAGCCTGCCGACACCAGCACTGTTGCTTGTCACTGCTGCACCCTGCGCACAGCGGGCTCTGCAGGAGCCGGTAGTACCGGCGACGGGCATACCGGCTGTCCAGCTCCCCCTCCAGTTCCGGGTCTGTGCCCCCTTCCCCCTTCCTCTTACTCTGCATATAGACTCTCAAAAAGCACCCATACAGACGCTGGATCATCTCTTGGAAGGTTCTGGGGGTACTAAAGAACAAGACTCCGCGCAACATAGTGTGGACTTTTTCTCGCAGCCCCTGAGCACCAGTGCCCATCAGCAAGCCCAGGCGAGTCCATTTCTCCAGCAGCTCTAGGCTACGCAGGTAGGGATCCAGGCGGCTCTCCAGCAGGCCAAAAGCGTCAAGGAGCAGCAGAAGGCACTGGGGCTCATCCGTAGAGTTCTCGCATTGGGAGATGGCATTCCAGAACTCAGGGGAGATGTTGGCCTGCAGATCGTTCTGCAGCACCTCTACGAACCACTCCTCCAGGACCGAGTGCAGGCCGTGGCCCCTCAGAACCTCCACCGCCGCCCGGAGCTCCTCTTCCTTTGGCGGGACTGCACCGCTGGTCCGGGAAGACACCTGGAGCGCAGAAAACCGTGAAGCGAGGGGAACACAACATAGAGGTGGGGAGAGGCGGGGAAGGGAAGAAGCTGAGGGGTAGGCTGCAAAAACTCCGCTGCCCCCTGTCCGTGGTGTCCGGACGTTGGGCCGAAACTAGGGAAGGGCTGCCAGCGGAGCTGAACGAAATGAAGTGGAATGGCGGTGGAAAGCGGCAGGACAGGGCAGAGGCGGATGACGGACAGAGCTGTATGAACCCGAAGGTGGCCGCCCCAAAGTGCATAGGGTCCCGGAAACTCCGCGCGGGGCCGCCGCTCTCTTCCCAGGCCTCACCAGCCCCAGCGCAGCTGGCGGCACCAGGCCGGTGCTCACGGTATTCCAGGCCACTAACAACTCCTGTCCGGGCCGGGAGTCGCTGTCCCCCTCCGCCACCACAACTGCCGCCGCCATCTGCAGCCACCGGCTCCGAGATCCCCTCGGCACCGCGCAAAGCGATGACGCAAGTCTGCACGCGCAGCCATGACGCGCACAAGGCGCTCAGCGATGACGCGTAGTTCGGCGCGCCGTCAGGGAGTCTTGCGCAGGCGCGGACAGCGCTGGTTCCGCGGCGGTTGGGGTGGCGGGGCCCCGGGCGGCGTAGACCATGACCCAGCAGGGCGCGGCGCTGCAGAACTACAACAACGAGCTGGTCAAGTGTGAGCGGCGCAGCCGGGACGGGGAGGTCGGGAGGGCCGCAGGGCCGGGTTCCCGGCTCGCAGCGGGGTGCCCCTGGACCCGCCTAGTTGCGGGCATCGCGCAGCTGAGCAGAGCCCTCCGTGCCGGGGCCTGGGTGTCCGTGGCCCCGAGCCCTCGTTGGCTCGCAGGCCCCGCGCCGGGTGCTCGGGGGTGGTGCCTGACTCTGGCTTCCTCGGGTGGAAGGAGGCCCGCCCTCCGCCGCCGCGCTCCTGCCCTGGGCCCACAGCGCCGCCCCTCCCGGCCCCCCAGGCATAGAGGAGCTGTGCCAGAAGCGGGAGGAGCTGTGCCGGCAGATCCAGGAGGAGGAGGACGAGAAGCAGCGGCTGCAGAATGAGGTGAGGCAGCTGACGGAGAAGCTGGCCCGCGTCAACGAGAACCTGGCACGCAAGATTGCCTCTCGCAACGAGTTCGACCGGACCATCGCGGAGACGGAGGCCGCCTACCTCAAGGTGGAGCTCGGGAGGCCAGGCGGAGCATCAGGGGATAGCCGCGGCAGGGGTGTAGCCGCGGCAGGGCGTCAGGACCGTCTGGGGCTCCCAGCTGTGGGCAGTCTGTGCCTCGCTGACATGTCGGGCAGGAGCAGCGTGGCCAGGCCCATTGAGGAACCCAGGCTGCTGCGGGAGTGACCGTGGGGCTGTCTGGGGGACCTGGGGCATCCTGGGTCCTGGTCTTCATCCGGTTCTCGCTAGCCATGTGGTTCTTTCTGCTTAGAGTGTGAAGAGCCACGTCTTGGGCCAGTGCTAACCCAGCCTGGCTTTGAGGGTGGGGAGGAAGTGTTCTGGGTCAGATTCAGGAGGGAAGAGGGCCCTGTTACCCCGTCTGCCAGTCCCCTTGGGCTTCCGCCTTCCCCCGCACAGGATCCCTTGGCTACAGCACCCACAGCCAGGTCCCAGAACCTGAGTGTGAGGACAGCTGGGGCTTAGGAACTTCCCAGCAGGTGAACAGTAACAACTTTCTCACTTCTCTGGCCCCAGATTCTGGAGAGCTCCCAGACTTTGCTCAGCGTCCTCAAGAGGGAAGCTGGGAACCTGACCAAGGCTACAGCCTCAGACCAGAAAAGTAGCGGTGGCAGGGACAGCTGACCAGACCACGGGCAGGGCCTGCCTCTGTGCGCCCCTCACCTCAGCCCTGACAAGTCTGTCCTCAGAGCGTCTTTGTTCTTCACAGCAGCAGCTGCCTTCCCTCACTGTCCCCGGTGCCGAGAGGGGCGGCTGCCAGCCTCTACTGGCATCATTGACAAGCCAGGGCACAGCCCACCCAGGGGCTTTGTGCTCACACGGGCTGTGGGGATGGTGGGTTCCAGGTCAGCTCTGCAAAGGGCCTGTCTCTGTGGCACCCACACTCCTGCCCTGCTGGGGAGGCCCTGGTTGTCTGTGCACCATGGGGGCCCCCTCAGCTTGTCCCTCCTCAGCCAGCAGAGGCCCAGGGCAGGGGACAGGGGTTCTCCTTCACCCCAGAACCCAAACCTCAGGGCTCACCCCTGTGGCCTGTGATTATCAATAAAGATTATCTTTGTAAAGGTCCGTGCCAGCCTGCTGCTTGCCCGTGTCAACAGTGTGGGGCTGCCAGACACCTGCAGAGCCAGAGCCTGAGGCTCCCCCTTGGGAAAGGAGGGAGGAGGCGTCTGGAGTGGTCTCCCTATGACTGCCCAACTAGCCTCAGGGACACCGCTGAGGGTGCCCACCCTGCCCAGGCCAGCGCCACCCTCGGCCCTCCCCAGCAGGGCCGCTGGTCCTCTTCCCCTGACTGGCCCACAGCTCACCCTCCTCTCAGCTCTGCTCGCTCGTCCTGTTCTCTGCCACACCCTGGTGTCCAGCATAGGACCCAGCCCAGAGAGACAGCTAGGGATGCCAAGCATATCCAGCAGCTGCCTCAGACTCAGGTCTCTCTCAGCAAGGACTGGGGGGGCTTCACACCCCCTACCCCCACCAGTTCCTCCTTGCAAGTCCTGCTTGGCCTGATGACACCACTGCTGCCACCAGGCCCTGCTGCCCCTTTCCCTGGCCGCACGCCAAGCACTGGCCACCTCCATCCTTCTGCGTGCCCTGGGGCCTCTGTTCTGTCCCTGCAGCAACCAAGCACTGCCTGAGGACTGGGCCTATTTGGGAAGCGTGTGTTGATCCAGAGGGTCCAGAAAAGAGCTGGGCCCACCCCCCAACCAGGGAAATACACCAAACTCTCCCGCCGGAGTCTGGCCAGACAGCAGCGCTTTGCTCTATGGTTTGGTTCTCCAGGGAGGAAACGGGGCTTGGGTTCAGAGGGTTGTAAACAGCCCCAGATCTGGCTGCCCGGGCAGGTGCTGATCCCCACTTGCCTCATCCTGTGGGGGTCAGGGGGCACACCAAGCCCAGCAGGAGACACTGTACCCTGTGCTGCCTTCATGCTGCCCTTCCCTTGGTCCCTCCACAGGCTCTGGGCCCCTCAGAGAAGTCACTTCAGGCCCAACAGCTGCAACACTCACCCTCCCACCTGAAGTCTGGGCCCCTGACAGCAGGCCTGGCATCCTACCTCCCACAGTGCCAGCTCTGGGAGGCTGGGGTGGAGGGGCAACAGGTTAACAGGCCGTAGAAGTTGGGGGGTCAGAGCCTTGGCCACTGGGACATCAAGGAGTGGGGGTACCAGACTGGGGTCCCCTCCCACACACCCTGGCACAGACGTGCAAGCTGGGGCCCACTGGACCCCATGTGGCCTCTTACTGCAGAGACCTGCCCCTGCTCCCCTCTCAGCCAAGGACCACGCAGTGGGGATGCCAGCAGCCTTGTCCAGTGCTGTTTATTGAGTCCATCGTCAGAGGCAGGAAAGATGCCACTCATCACAGAGGGCATGGGGGCTGTGGGCAGGGGCTTAGGGTCCTGCAGAGGACAAGTAGCTGGGACAGCCCTTCACCCCAGACCCCCCATGGCCACTGGGAGGCAGGCTGAGGAGACAGGACAGGGAACTGCCAGGTGTAGAATCTGCACAGTCCCCTGCCGGGTTGCAGATGGCCACCACCCAGCAGACCCCTGACCTCACCCACAGGCAGTTCCCCACCCCACTCCCCGCCTGGGCCCTCCCAAACCAGGGCCGGGGAGTGAGACCCAGACCTGGTCCCAATGGCAGGAGGCACCCTGGCTGCTTCCAAGGCCAGGAGGGGTGGGTGGAATACGGTGAGACCAGACAAGGCAGAAGTGGGTGCAGTAGTCCCTGGCTACTGCCCAGCTTCCGGGACTCCCACAGCTGGGGCTCAGCCTTGGTCCTGGCAGTGCTGGGCTCAGAAATAAAGGGCTGGCTCGCTGCGGAAGTCCGAGAGGTCATTCTGACTGGCAGGTGTGAGCTGAAAGTGAGAGAACAGAATGTGGACACATGGGCTCGCCCAGGCATCAGACTCCCCGAAGCGCTCCCCTCCCCTGCAGCTCACCATGGCCTCTGCGGGCGGGGGCTCTGCCTCCCTCGGAGCCTGCTCTAGTGCCTGCTCCTGCCACTTGCTGAAGGCCACAGAGTGCTTCGGGGTGTAGCTGGACAGGCCTGTGAACGGAGATGCACACGTGGACATGTGGACACAGACCAGGCTCCACCCCGCCCAGGCTGCCTGTCCCCCTAGGTGGGCACCCACCTGAGCTGCCCTCTGGCAGCCGAGAGCTCTCGGGTCTCACGCTGCTCACAAACGTGGCCCGGGGCAGGAAGAGTGCAAAGGGCTTCTCCTCTGAGCCGGAACCCTCTTCCTCCTCTTCCTCTTCCTCCTCCTCCTCCTCCTCCTCCTCCTCATGCTCCACCTCTTCCTCCTGTGCTAGGGAGCTCTCGGAGGGGTACTCAAATGTGGTCTGCAGGCTTTTGTCATTGAAGGAGATCTTCATCTGGGAGTGAGAGTCACATGAACCAGGGCTGAGGGCCCACATGGGCACAATGCCAGGGGCTCAGGTCCAGCCCTCAGGATGAGGCTGACCCAAGTGGGGCGCCGGACGCGCCGGATGCACCATCAACCCTTCGGGGGCTCCAGGAGGTGGGCAAAGACCTCTCCAGCTGGACCCTGCAGGCGTCCATCCCCTCCACCCTGGGGGCCAACTTCCCCTCCCAATCCCAGCCAGGGAGCAAACTCTGATCAGGACCAGAAGCCCAAAGCCTCTGGGTCCCCAGAAGCGTCTAAACCAGCTCCCGGGGCTACCATCTCAGGACCCTCCTGCTCTGCTGTCTGGGCAGAGCACCAGCTGGGGGGACACTGGGGTGGACACATCCCCTCCCACTAGAGCAGGAACAGGGTGGAAGAGAGGCTGTCCCCTCAGGGGTCTTGCCCTCTAGGCTCCAGGCAGCTCCTGCTGGTGTCTGGGGCCTCTCTCTAAAGCCAAGTTCATGTCCTGGTTTACTGGATGCCTGGACAATCCGGCAGAGCACGGACCCCCCATTGCTGACAAGGGCCTCTGTGAGGCGTCAAGCCGGGCGGTAGCCCCAGGCACCATCACCCACCGAACATAGTTGAGAGTTGGCCTGAGGGACTGTGCAGAGTGAGAAACCGCCTCCACTGAGCCTGGGTGCCAGCGACCCCAGCAATGACCCCTTCCTCACCCTGCTGTCCCTCTGGCCCTCGTCCTCCGTCCCCGCTTCGTAGGCTGCAGGATTTCACATCTGAGCAAATGCTTTCCTTTTCCCAGTGGCCTTGAAGCCCAGGCAGGCCTGCTGGTTCCCAGGGGCAATGGGAGCAGTGGTCAGGACTCTCCACCTCCCCTGACCGGGGCTTGCATGGGGCTAAGCTCCCCACAACAGCCGAGCTCCCACCGCTCAGCTGCACTCAGCCCGGCCCCAGTGGTCCCCCATGAAAATGAGCGGCCCCCACCTGCAGCAGATGGGAGCGGCCCTGCCGGAGCTCGAAATATTAAACTCTTCCTGGGCACAGGACACCAGCAGCTCAAGTTCCTCCTCCTCCCCTAGAAGGACCCAGAGGCAGGAGCCGGGCCCCAGGCAGAGAACCACTGCAGCCAGGCACAGTAGGATGAGACAGCCTCTAAGGAAGCAGCTGAGGCCACACAGGGCTGCCAGGACAGGGCCGAGGGCACACGCTCCCGCCATCATGCCCTCTCCCGCAGTGGCCACACGGCCCACAGCCAAGCGTACCCTTGGGTCCCTTCTCACCATGAACATCCCCACCTCCCACAGCCGGGGGGGCCACCCTTTGTGCCCAAACCTCCAGCTTCCCTTCTCAGCACAGCTCACACAGAGCCCTGCTGGGCAACTCAGCTGCCTGCTTGCATCCCTACCCTAGGCCTCAGCACCCCAGCTGTCTGCACGGATGAGCGGGGGAGGGGGAGGCCACCTGGATCAGACAAAACAAGGAGAAAGGCACCAGCTCCTGTCCCTTAACTGCCCCGCCTGTGGCTAGGCCCACCTGGCCCTCCAACGCTCATCCCACAGGAGACCAGGCAGGGAGAAGCTGGGACAGACCCTACAAACACCCACCCACTGCCAGCCCACTTGGGGATGGGGTCACCCAGCCCTCCCAGACTCATGCTTTGGGACAGATACCCCAGGTGGAGGTGCTCAAGGCAGGACAGGGCTGGTGGGCCAGAGGTCTCCCACAGCCCCAAAGTCCAGCAACAAATGGGGCTTCCAGTCGCCCTGGATACGTGGAGCTAACCCAGATGACCCCGAAGTCCTCAGGCCCAGCCCCCATGGCTGAGAACACAGAAGGGCCGGCTGCCAGGGCTGCAGGATTAGTGCCCTCGCTCGTGCACATGACCAGTCCCAGCAGGGGGGCTGCGGGGGCTGGGTGCACATGGGCCCTGAGCCTGGTACAGCCTGGCCAGGCAGTGGGGAGCGGGGGGTGGACAGGCAGCCCGTCTGCCCTCAGCTGGGGCCCAGGGCTCTGGTCACGTCCTGCCTCCCCAGGTCTCCTCAGCTGGGCTGGTGCACAGCCCTCCCCTCCCACTGTGGAGACAGGTCAGTGGGTCACAGGACACCCCGTGACTCATGCTGTGGGCAGCCTGAAGACCCCAGGACGCAGGATGGGCAGAGGGTGTGGCCAGGGGCTGGCAATGCAGCCTATCAGGGACTTCGCCTGGCGCAGCCAACAGAGAGCCCGCAGGTGGGTCCCGGCTCAGCCCAGCCTCCCAGCGGAGCCTCCTGGCTTCTCAGGACCCTTTTGTTCTTGCTCCACTCACCCTGCCTGTGCACACCTAGCTTTGGTTACCAAAGGGCCTGGCCTCCACCCGGGACAAAGGGCCAAGCA